CCGTGGTAGTATGGAGGCTGGTCACAAGCCTTGTTCAGCAGCAGACAGGTGCAGGAACAAGTTCAAGGTCAGAAACAGGCAGAAATCTGTAACATACTGGCAGCGAGGTACAAGTCAGGAGGCAGAGACGTAGTCAGGAATCCAAGCTGAGGTCAGTAATGCAAACGAGCAGCAGATGTAACAGGTAGGATGATCCAAGAGAGGTGTCAGATGGAGTCGGGTCAGGAACCAAGTTTTCCAGACTTTCAAGAACCAGGGAACACAGGAACTAGAACTGAAGACAATCCAGCACTGAAGCCAAGCAGCCTCTTTTTAACCCCTCCACGCCTAAGGGTAAAACAAATCTTAATGCCTAAGCACAATTTTGCATTGTTGACATGTGTTAGTAAAACCGTACATATCATCACAACTACTTTGTACATCCAGGTGGATTATACCTTGCTTTTTTTCAGGACAAATTGGGCTTTCATTTGGTGGTAAATGGTAATGGGATATCTCCTGTTTTTTTTTATCAAAGGAAAACTGGCCCAAAATAGTAAAAAAATATAATTTTTCTTAATTTAGCTGAGTGTTTCTTGTTACTACCATAACCTACCACCAAAGAACAACCCAAAATAAATTTTCCAGCTCTTGTGTTATTTGTTGTTTGTACCCGTAGTACAGTCCAGAAACAATAGTGCACATTTTGTTTTTGTTTTGTTACCTAAAACACACTGACACTGATATCAATTGAAAGAAAAAAAAAAATCCTGACCTTTGATCCTGACCTTTGACCCTGACCTTGACCCAAACACTTACCCTGGCAGTGAACTAGATCAAACTTTGATCTAGGTATTTTTTCTTTATTTTTTATTTTGTTTTAATATTTATGTATTTAAGTATTTATCTTTTCTTTTTTTTTAACAAACATTTTTTTCCTCTATGCCAGGAGTTAGAGAGATACAATGTATCTCTCTCCTCCATTCATAGAGAAAAAAAACAAACAAACAAGGGGTGCAGGCTATACAGTGAATGATCACTGTGATAGTCAATCAGAGGCTATCACAGCGATCATGTGACCCGGAATCAGGAGTCCCGGGTCCTGATCGTTAGAATGGGCTCTCAGTGACACCTTGGTCTTTGTGTTGGAAGCGCGCTGTGCTCCCAGTAGAAAGACAGGTATGCATAAAATGCGGCCCCACGGAAAAAAGCCCAGTTTTGTGAAGCCGCATATTTGTGTGACGTCAGTGCGAAGGGGTTAAATAAGCTCTTTGGCGCCACAATCTGTGGATATATGCACACACCCATATGTGCGTGCACGTGCTCACACATACGTGCCAATGCTCCTCCGTGTGCGCATTCTAGTCCTTGCTCGTCTTGCTTGGCTTCTATGTGCACAATTCTGCGCACGTGCATAAGAATGCTCACCTGCTGCACAGAATTGGGCATCTGCTGTACGAGATCCCTGACAAAGTTGGACAGTAGAGGGCAGCAGATCCGTATACCTGTTTTATTGTCTTCCTTGAGGAAGAGTTCCTGTGTGACCACCAAAGCACTGAAACCTGAAGAATGGAGTGCTGGTGACTTTTGAAAAGATTAATCAAGATGGCACTACTGGTCAGTCATTTTGAGCACTTTTAGTGGTCATATACCACATAGAGAACAGTGAGCACTAATTAAAAAATATTTACACACCATCCAACAATATGAGACAGGGAAGAGACATCTTTAATGACAACATTTTAGGTAAAAGATACACCCTGACTAGTGTGCCCAAACTTACTTTCAATGTTTAGAAAAAAAAGAGACTTTCAGCACTTTGTACATTATTTTACATCCATCAACATAAAAAAAAGTCATGCTACAAAAAAATCGAATCGCAACAATTTTGATTTGTTTAAAAAGCAATAGCTTTCCTGCTCATAGAAGAAAAATTGAATCATTATCTAGAGCAAGTTTGGAAATAAAGTAATAAAATAATTTCTAAACCCTCTCAATGAGATTCTCCTATTTGCCCCTTTTTGGTCTGTTATAAATACTGTTCAAATACTGTTCAAAGTGTTTTGTTACAGTTTGTAAGCACTCTGCAGTCTTTTCTTCAACAGTGTTATCAACCCTGCCCAGATCACCTCTGTGAACTCAGAACACTTTGCCCCTACGTCATGGACAAAGGGAAGTGTTTTCTTCTCCAGTCCTAGGCTGACAATACTACTCCTCCAAGGATACAGTAAAGTGAGTCAGCATTGTCACCTCACCTGGGACAGGCTCACCGGGTGAATAGAAAAGAAAGTCAACAAAAAGTAAAGTAATGCAGCCACCACATATAAGAACATGATATAAAAACATTACTTTTTTATGGGCATTATAACTTCTTTATACTATTGTTAAAAAAAAGTAATACAGATACACATTTTGTACATCAGCCCAAAATGAGGGGACAGTTGGGCAGAAAACAAGGACAGAGTGAATTGGCTCAAAAGTTGAGTGCTATGAATTAAAGGCCAATGTGTCAAACACAGATATGTATTTATTCTGGGCCATGTTCTTTATCCTAGCTATTTTTATATATATATATATCATTTTAATATTTTTGTGTTGATATATGGGCTTTTTTTGACTTGACTGCTTAACTTTTTGATGACTAAGGGTAAAAACAAATGTTAATGCCTAAACACAAATTTGCAGCTTTGACATGTGTTAGTAAAACTGTACATATCATTGCAACTACTTTGTGTATCTAGGTAGATTACACCTTGGTTTTTTTTCAGGACAAATTGGGCTTTATTTGGGGGATAAGTGGTAATGGATATCTCCTGATTTTTGTTATTTTTTTTTTTATTATCAAAGTAAATCTATCCCAAAATAGTAAAAAAAAAAATCTGTATTTTTTTATGTAGTTGTATATTTATGTCTAGTACCATAACTTCCCACCAAAAAACAAACCAAAATAAAATCTTCTGCTCCTGACGATCGCAGTGATACTACATATGTGTATGTTAGTTGTTGTTTGTACCCGTAGTAAGGCCAAGAAACAATCGTGTTTTTTTACATCTTTTCTTCTTGTAAATGGGCCATTTATACACTTCTGGCTGGATGCTAACTATATTTCATTGGCTCTGTACATGTACTTTGCACAATGACAATAAAGTTGAATCAAATCTAATCTAATCTAATCTAAAATACAATGTATCTTTCTCTCCATTCAGAAGTGAAAGAAAACACATGGGTGAGTTGCACAGTGACTGATCACTGTGATAGCCTATCAGAGATCAGGTGACCGGGAACCGGGAGTCCAGGGTCCCAATCCTTAGCATGAGATCCAGAGGTCTTGGTGAGAGTTTGATCTCTGTGCCATGAAAGCGATGTGTGGTGTGCTCCCAGCACAAAGAGAGGTACGCATATATGTGGCCTCATGGATAAAGACCCACTTCCCTGCATTAGTGTAAAAAACCTTCTGTGTCCAGCCCCGCTTATACTTACCTGAGCCCAATCTTGGTCCAGCACTGTGTCTGACAGCAGCAGCTCTCTCTCTACTCACAGGGCAGATTGATAGCATTGGCTCCTGCTTTTGTCAATCAAATCCTGTGATGGAGAGTGGGGCTGAGCCCCGCTGTCTGTGTAAATGGACACAGGCAGCTGGGCTCGGGATCAAACATGCAGGTGTGCCGTGATAAGAAGCTGGTTCCTATGATCTCACACTGAGAAGATGAGGCGCCAGGAGGAGGGGAGCCTAAGAGAAGGAGGTTTGGGGCAGCTCTGTGCAAAACTATTTCATAGAGCAGGTGAATATAACACGTTTATTATTAAAAAAGAAAAAAGTTAAGGTTTATAATCAAGGGTAGCACAGATGATGGTTTGGGGAAAACCTAAAAATGTTATTGTTTGCTTTTGTTACTATAGAATCATATTGTATTTTTTTCATTATTACAAACCCTAAAACTATAGAAGGATCATAGGCCTTGATGATGGAGTTGGGTCGTATGCATTGACATACGACTCTTGCTATAAGCAACACATAATGCAATGCAATCGTAAACACTGACATACATATATCCATTTATTGCACATATGGTCTAGCTTTGTACCCCGCATGTTTTTTTCACATTCTGTATAACACACAAGACATGCACTATTTTCTACCCACAAATGTGTTTGTTTTTAGGATTTTTTGATGGAAGATATTCACAGATTATTTTGCATGTGTTTCACTGGAGATGTTAATCATTTTACCAGATTTCACACCAGTAACTGTGGGAATGGAAAGGCATTTGAACTTTAGAATCTCAGTAGCCTTTGTGTTAAAATCCATTAAAGCTGAACTTGGGGATAAAAAAATGATACTTAAATAATAGTATTCTTACATGAATCTTAGAGTGCTTTGCCTAATCCTTCCAGATCTGTGCGGTGATCCAGTATGAAACATTGCTCTGTGCACGAGCTTCCTGTAAAACAAAAGTCACTGCTGCTCTGTCTCCTTGTGTAGGATGATTGGCCTTATCTCCACCCCCTCCTGTAGTTTAGCCGGTAGCCGGTATGGTGGGGTGTGGAGCCTTCTGATTACTCCCATAGATCTGTTCTCTGCACAGGTTATGTACAGCACAGTGATGATGTCATTGCTACGTTTACAAGTTAATATATGGATTTTCAAATTTGTTTGGTGCACACGAAGAGGATTTATAATCTTTGTGACTATAAATATATAATCTTTGTGACAATTGAGGAATACATTTAAATGAACATTTTTGTGCCTGGAATTCAGCTTTAAACCTCCAAATTACATGATCTATAAATTAATTTTTATACCTGTCTTATTTCATGTTTATTTTCATTTGTAGGAGTCTGAAAGTGATATGATAACCGGACGCACAGTGCAAGCATACAGTAGTATGCAACTAACGTATTTACTGCTCTTTCTGGGAATATTTGGCATCCACATCTGCTGTCATGGTCAAGTAGATCCACTTGCCCTAAGCCGGGCAGATCCCCAATGTTGGGAATCATCTACAGCAAAGCTACTGGAGATGAAGAAACCACGGATAGCAGATTCTGTGCCTGAATTTTGGGACTTCATGATATATTTGAAGTCATCTGACAACCTTAAACATGGTGTTATGTTTTGGGACCTAGCACAACTTTTCTGGGACATCTATGTACACTGTGTACTCTCCAGAGCACATGGCCTTGGTAGAAGACAACTGAATGAAGAAGAAAAAACAGTAACTAATTTCATTTCACAGTACACATCAAGTAAGTCTTTTGAGATTTGGCCAGAAGAGTCACCACAAACTTTCAAGCTATAATGCACAATTTAATCTGTTAGTACTATGAAGAAAACATTTTCTAGTGAAATTTAAATTTTTCTGACTTCTACGCAGTTATTGTGTAATGTCCACAAATAATTGAGTGTATTTATGTAAAACAAACCGGACTGCAAATGTCCAGCTGTTTTTAGTAATGTAGTCCAAATGCAAGGGGTCCTTCCTCCCAACAATGATTGTTTAGTTATAGTTGGTCAAAGTAAAACTTACTTTTTTTTATCTTGAATGCTTCAGTTGTGAGATCTCCCTGCCAATTGTCAATTCCTTAAGTCCACGTGGAGGCTGGAGATGTTCTAACTGCCTTTTAGGTGTTCCAGCACCTTTTGTTTTCATCTAAAAAAATAAATAGAATAAATAAAAAAATTTAAGAGGGGAGAGTGGGAAACACTCAGAATAACCACAGCAGATGTTCAGATCCAGGAACTTGAGTGCAGATATCTAACCAATAGGGTTCTTGGAGATATACTGTCTAAAGTAAACTAAAATAAGAGCTTTAGGTGGACTGATCCTTTAATGAACAACTTGCCCCTAAGTGACGTTCTCAATTTTTGGAGAGGTTAATGTTCCACTATATCATCCTATGTACTTCAGTGGATTTGCCACAGAGATATATGGAAAAGCTGTGGCAATGGCAAGGATACATAAAATTGTATTTAGGAAAAGAATGTTGCCAAAAAGTAGGGTAAGAGGTGAGGTAGTAAATCGCAAACCAAGGAGTCTCTGGTTCCACCAAAAAAAGAAAAGAGAAGGAGGTGGGAGACCTTACAGTGTAGTAGATTCATTCAGAAACAAGGAGAAAATGCTTCCACAAGAAAAGGGAAAAAAGGTCAAAATGGACTTACAACTGTTGAGGATGTGTGAGGAGGGAACATGCAGCCTTCATAGTGCACGGTGGAGAAAACCTGTCTCCACACAAGGTCAGTGTAGTTGCTGTCTATGCCCCGAGCATTCCCATCCTGGGTTTTCTGTAGGGTTTTGAAGTGGGTGAATGAATTGGTAGGAAGAGTCAGAGCAAAAAAGCCTGTTTATAGTTCAATTGGCAGATGTTCCCAATGTGGTTGCTTCAAAAGATATGCATGAGTTTTCTGCTTTAGTAAAACATCTAATTACTTTATTTCACCAAATAAATATATATATATATTTGGTGAAATAAAGTAATTGGACTTTTTACTAAAGCAGATGACTGGTGCCTATCGTTTGAACAACCATATCGGGCGCCCCTGTCAATTGAACTATTAAAGGACTTTTTTTACTCTGACTCTTCTTGCCAGAGAGTAACCATTTTGATTACTTTTGATTGGACAGTATATCTTCTAGGAATGACTATAATAGAAAACACATGCCAAACTAGCAGGGGAAGAAATACACCCCTGTTGATTTCCGTTGTTCTAAATATATACAAGGCATCAATATTCACAATCTATATTGTGCACTGTCATATACCTAGACTATTGGATGCACAGATCAAGTGAAGAGTGACTGAAGCATAGATAGACTGTTAAATCTGAACCCTGGGATAAGCAAATATTGCCATAAATTCAACAGTTTATTTTTTCCAGATATGTGCAGTAACCCAGCATGAAAGCTTTCCTTTGTGTAGGCCAGGGGTGTTAAACCTAGCATTATGGTTGCCCTCAAAGGACCAGTTATATCTGGAAAGACTATAAATGTATCTACTCTTTATCAAAATAAATAATTGCCTTTGCCTTTTGGTTATTACTGGTTTTACTAATAACCTAAGACTTAAAGTGGGTGTAAAGGCTAAAGGTTTTTTACCTCTATGCACTCTATGCACCCCCCCCCCCCCCCAATACTTACCCAAGCCCCATCTTAATCCAGCACTGTGCATGGGAGCAGTAGCTGTTCTTTGTCTCTCTCTATGCTTATTGGCTGAGACACTTTGGCTCCTGCTGCTGTCAGTCACAGCCAGTGAGGAAGGAGGGGATGGGACTGAGATGTGCTCCATGTGTCTAATAGACACACAGAGCGAGGCTCGAGAGTGAGTATGTACAAGTGCCCCCAGAGCAAGAAGCTTGCTCTGGGGGCACTCAGCAGGGGAGAGGGACCAGGAGCACCGGCAGAGGAACCAAAAAAGGAGGATCGTGTAAATCCATTGCAAGGAGCAGCAAAGTATGACTTGTTTGTAATTTTTTTTTTCTAACTGAACTTTTAGTGTTACTTCAAGTTGTGAAGGGCAGGTGCAGACTGGCACGGAGCCTTCTCACACTCCTGTAGCAGATAATGCAAGTCTTAAAAGGAGGGCCACACACTGCTGGTATCATCCACAAGAAACTTTGGAGACTGCTAAGACAGAACATGGTTCTGCCATGGTGTTCTGTCTAAGCAGTCTCCAGTACAGTTTCCTCCTTTTCAAACGGCATAGAATTATATTATTTTCATAATAATTATAAGTAGATGTCCAGAGCACCCCATCTCCTTACATCAGATGTGAAGAGTACCTCACCCTCCCTTACATCACAGTGTATCCCCTTACCTTGTGCTGTTGCTGGGAAGAACCTGGGGGTGGAGCTGGGAAACAGAAAGTGCAGGGTATGGAGGAGGACCAGAGGAGGGCTGGAGTCAGTTGCTGGAGTCTGCTGAATGCAGGGAAGGCAGACGCGAGGGCACAGAGAGGAGCAGGATCTGTAGGAGGAGTATTGTTCTCCTCTCTGCTGTCGACTTCTGAGACAGGGTGACAGAGACAAGCCTCCTGTCCTCCTCTCTGCTGCCAACCCAGCTGTGGTGGGTGCAGAGATGAAGGGAGTGCTTCAGCTACAGCAGAGGTGTGAGGGCTACAAGAAATGGCCTGACAGGTTTGATTTGGCCTAGGGGCCTTGTATGTGGTGTAGGAGCTTCAGATGTTAAAGACCAGTGACTGCTGCTCCTTTCTCTCCTTGTGCAGGGTGCCTGGTTTTGTAGAACAGAGGAAAGCATGAGGGCCTTTATATTGTAGTATTCAATGATAGCAATAGTGCAAAAAATAGAAATAGAACAGTGCTAGATTTGCAAATGACCATGTGGTGATGGCAACTGCAACCTGAAAGTAGCGCCTTGTGTATGCAGAAGATAGGATGGTTGCTGTCAATGCTCAGGAGGCTCAGCCCTAAGTTTTCTGGGGGAAGCCAGGATGGTAGGGAAAACTTGGTGAGTGTGAAAAAAGCCCAGAGGTCGTGCGGGGACCATACCGTATTAAAGAATGATATCCCACTGAAAAAGATGCAATCTTGGTAGTAAAGTACTTAATATAGCATTTAAGACACGTTTTGTGACCACTGCTCAGAATATTTAAAAGGTGACACATAGGAAACATTTACTTTACAGGATGTATTTACAAAATATAAAACAAAAGAATAGTAACATTAATAACTTTGATCTGGTGATGAAAATAATAAAATGATCTGTGCAGTAATTCAGTGTTAAACGTTCCTTTTGTGCAGGAGCGTCATAAAAAAAAAAGACCAGTGCCTGCTGCTTTCTGTGTGTGTGTGCAGGGTTCCTGGATCTGTCCCCCTGTAGTTTTCTACAGACAGCTTGTAGTGGGTGGGCCGACTGGGTCCCTTCCATAGCTCTGCTCCCTGCACAGGCTATGTCCCAAATATCATTCTGAACATCTTAAATAAGCCCCCATATCTGAGAGGCCAATACAGAGAGGAGAAGTTTCCATGCAACTATGAGGGGTGATCAGCACATTTGATCTTTGCCAATCTGTAGGTATAGCACATTTGCCTTTATTTGGGTGCTGGGCAAGCTATATAGCCACAGCATGCAATGATGCAGTGGAGGTGGTGCAGTGGCTAACCAAGCCATCCACATCCTTCTCCTCTTCTATCACCTTTGTTCAGACTAGCTTGCATTGCACCACAGCTGCCAAAGCAGCATATCCTGACCCCTCGTCCACAGCTACTTCTGTCATTGTTCCACCAATGGGGTCTGATGAGGTCTCTGACTGTACCTGTGTGTCAGATAAAGCAGGGGAGGAAAGTAATAAAGAGGCACAATTCCAATGAAGCATGATAACACCCAGGGGCAGCTAGCAGAGAAATGGAAGGCTCAGCCACCCTATTCTACTGGATGGCAAAGCTCCACAGATGTAGGGTACAGTTGTCCCCCAATCCACTTCTAGGGCTCAGCTATGCGGACTATTTTAGCATGAGTGCAGCAGACCATGCCATTGTTAATTGCAGCCTATTATTTGTCTGCCTCAAATGGATAGTATCAGTCATGTACCACGTGCATAAAAATATATCTGACCTCTCCCCTTATAGCTCATTGAGAACAGTAAAAAACAAGGCACACATCAGGAAAAGGGCCTTACCCATCCTCCTCCTCCCAGCATCTCCCATTACACCTCTACCCCCACTATACACCATGCCCGCTCAGCAGCCCCCAGTGATAGGGATGATGGTAGGCCATCCCTGCACTTTACTATGAACAAGGTGTCACTGAGGCACCTGTTGATGAAAGGAGGAATGGTGGAGAAGGGTGCCACCTGATGTTTCAATCCTCAACACCCATGGTTGTCTGCTGCAAGCACATATTGGCAATATCTGCAAATGGTGGCTGATTATCTCAGGTCAAAAAAGAATCTAGAGAGCCAATGAATAGATGACCTCTTGGACTACTAAGTTATGAAGATGGACCATTGGCCAGAGTTTGCTTAGCTGTTGGGCTGGCCTGCAACTAGTGTGCTCTCTGAACATATATTCAGTGCTCTGGGAGGCTTTGTGATAGATAAAAGAGTGTGTTTGTCCACAGACACTGTTTACTGGTTAACATTTTTGAAGATGAATCAGCCTTGAATCGATCTTGGATCATCAGCAGCTATGATGCTTCTGATGCAGATTCTGCTAAGTACATTTGTGGGGGGTCCTGCAACTCTCCCAGATTTTTTGTTCTTTCTGCATTTCAATATTCTCCTTTTAGAGGCCGTTAAAAAATCTTAGATGCTACCACCAATGCTTTGGCCAACCCCTGTGTAAACT